CCTCAGCGTGCAGGGATACAGGCCTGCACCGCCACCTGAGCTTCTCAGTCCTTCTGCTGACACCTGTTGGGTGCTTTCAGAGCTTGAGCTGAGGCCAGGTGGGGAGGGAGCCTTCAGCTCACCCCACCCCACGCACGCTCATGCTAGCACACCCGCCCTCGCATGCAAGGCTGTCTGAGGTCTGCAGGGGATAGCACAGGGGCAGCAGGAGGGACAGCTTTCACCGGGCCGTGGGACTCTGCACCTCCAGGAAGGCCGGCTCCACACGGCTCCGGCCTTGGCCTCGTCTGAGCGCTGAGTGCGGCTCCTCGGGTGGTAGCTGCGACTGGGCTCTGCACTGGTTTCCCGAGGGCCGACCATGTGCCCATCAACCTGCCCTGCACGTGGGCTCCACAGTGACACAGTTGGAAAAGCAGATTTCTCACATGCAGTGTGACCGTGTCCCCCCACACTCACTTGCCTGCCAAGCTCCTGGGGCTCACACCAGTGACATTTTGCCTTCTGAGCACACAGCGGAGCAGGATGGGTCCTGCTGGGAAAGGTGGCCCCAGGTTCTGCCAGAGTCACTGCAGTGCAGGCGTGGGGGGAGGCGGGGGGGCTCTTAGCAGGAATCTTAGCAGCTCGGTGCCATGTGGGAGCTGCTGGGACACGTGGTGAATGCACTCTGGGTGCTGGGGCCGGCAGGGCTGGCAGGAGGACCCCAGAGACCTTGGGAGGGGACTGGATGGCTTAGATCTAAAGTGTCCCCCAGAGCCGAGCGTGTTCAGAGGGGCAGTGACTCATGGGGTACTGTGCTCATCAGCAACTCATCCTGTTATTGTGTGTGTGTGTGTGTGTGTGTGTGTGTGCGCGCGCGCGTGTGCACGTGCTGGCTGGGAAGGGGGTCCTGGAGGAGGGGCTGGGAGGGCGAAGTCCTTTACTCCCCCCAGTACTGGAATTGAAGGCAGGGTCTCGGCACTGAGCAGCATCCCCAGTCCTTTTTAATTTTTATTTTGAGGTAGGGTCTCAGTTGCTAAGGTCTCCAACCTGGGCTTGAATGTGTGATCCTCCTGCCTCAGCCTCCCAGGTTACCTCGACAGGAATGTGCCAGCACCCCTGGTGTGAGAGGACGCACTCTCACAGCCAGCTCCTTCCCCTCTCCCTGCTTCCCAGCTGCTGTGTCTGAGCAGCTGTCCTCCCACCTTCCACTACTCTGCCTGTGACTCAGCCAGCTGAGCCCTCTGCAACCGTGAACTCATGTGAGCCTCTCCCCACCAGAGATGCGAGTGTCAGGTACGTTGTTTCCACGGCAGGACATCCAATGATCTGCCCAGCCAAAGAGGACGAAGGTCACAGAGCAAGGGCGCTTGCTTGCTCATCAGCGACCCTGGGCGGGCCAGCCAGGTGCAGCTGCGGCTTCACACAGGTGCGAGGGGGCAGAGACCAGCAGAGGGACCTGAGGCTCAGCTGCCCCCATGGGCTTTGAAAGCAGGAGGCAGAAGCCAAGGACCCAGAGGCCTCTGCTGGCAAGAAAAGCCAAGGAAGGGCCTCTCCCTGGGCCTGCAGGAGGGACTGGCCCAGGAGACCCTGTCCCTCCGCCCAGGGGACCATGCTACATGCCTGCCCTTGGGACTGGGCAGTCTATGCATGCCATCAAAACCACCAGGTCTGCAGGTGCATGCTTCACTGCAGGCTGGGTGCACAGGGAGAGACTGCTAAAGCAAGATCATTCCTAGATGCCACTAGGATGCTGGTGAGAAGACGGAAATCACAGAGAGAGCCAGAAACTAGAGAACAGACCGCAGGGAGCGAGGGTTCTGAAAGCACACAGAGAAGACGATGGAAATGACCCCACGTCATCCCTCGTGATCCTGATCACGTGAGCGGCCCTGGCCTGCCAGTCAGCACTACAGTGCAGCCCTGCGCACTAAAATCGAGGCCCCGAGGGGTGGCGTGACGGCTTGGTGGGCAGGAGCAGGCTCCAGGGTGCCACTGCGTTGCCCACACAGAGGGACCCCCGGGCTCCCAACAAGAGAGGAGTGAGAGGGCCAGACGGAAACGATCGTCCTGCCCCAGCCAGGAGAGGACCCCGCAGGGTTTGGCGGGCTGGGTATCATCACAGGGTCTCACCAGGGAGTCAACTCTGCCCCCAGCTGGCAGCCTAGGCCAAGAACCCTGCTCCTTTGGAGGCCACTTGTGCCCTTGAGGGCCAGGCTGAGTAGGTGAGGTGGCATTTCAGGCTGGAGCTGGGGTGCCAGGACTGTGCCACCTCTCTGGCCCGCCTGTGGCTTGGGGTTCAGCCGTGAGCTGGTGGAACTTCTAGGACCCTTCCGCCTCCAGGGGGGAATTCGGCACTCTCCTCCTCCTACCTCAGCTGCAAGCCACCCCTGACCCTGACTGCTGCAGGTCGTCACCTCCAGAACTCGCCCCGTCCTCCCTGGCACAGTGCCCCTTGGCCAGGGCCGGTCCTCCTGTATGCCCACATCGGATGGATGGGCTGTGGGTTGGGGTCAGGGAGCTTCCAAGGGCGAGCAGGTGTGGCCCAGCCTGGCTGCTCCCTCCCCGTCGTCTACCCCGCAACAGGGTGCAAGCCCACCAGAGAACTGGCGGGCAGCCTCTGAAACAGCACTCCGGGCCCGGTCGGCTGTGTCAGTCAGGGAGCCCCACATCGCATCTTCCCAGGCTCTGTGGACGCTGAGGCAGACTGCCACCAGGAGATGCACGCTCCAGGACCTGCCTGAAGCTGCACAGCCTGAGGTGCCACCCAAAGCCACAGTGGCTGCTCAGGCTCCTCCTGTGTCTGGGGTGTCGCCAGGGCAAGGGTAGTGGGCTGTCTCTCCCAACCTCCCTTGCTTAGTGAGGGCTGGTGCAGAGCAGGTGGGCAGGCAGCACCAGGCTGGCCTGATGGCCAGTGGGCCACTTCCACAGGCCACTGCTGCCCCCCTGCTGCCCGAGTTCCCGTGGTGGTTCTGAGACCCTGGCTCTCAAGAAGGGCCTGTGGGGCTGAAAGTGTGCCAATGGGAGTCTCCCAGTGGACCCCTCTAATGGGGCAGGGTATGTCCAGCCACCAGAGCTACAGGTGATGCCTGCTCAGCATGAGGGCCCTGGGTGGGGACCCTGGCAGCATGGAAACCCATATCCCCCTCCCTGGGCTGCTGGGTGGGCTTCTGCCTCAGCTGAGCACCCAGGGGCTGTACTAGCTAGGTGCCTGGCAGAAGCTGGACCTTAGCGTCCTAGACCACAGAGCAGAGGAAGGCTGGACCCCTGGCCTGAGAAGGGGCTTGGGACAGCGAGCTTCTGTGCCTTCCTGGGTGTGTATGCCTGGCACCGAGGGGTACAGGGCGGGGTGCCTGGCCCCGCCATCCTAGCCCACAGACACATGGTTTCCTCACAGCTGCCCCTCAGAGGGAGGCTGAGGCCTGTCCTGCTCAGGGTTTGGGGCAGGTGTGGCCAGGAATGGCCTCTGAGGCATCTTGTGGGAGGACTTGACAGGAGGCATAAAGGGCAGGGAAGGAAGGGTACTCAGCCAGTGCAGGCCCACAGGCCTCCGCAGGGTGGCAGCGGGCAGGGCGTGGGCTGGACGCACACCGGCCAAGTGGGGTGCTGAGTGTTACGGGCTCAGAGGGTGACACTGTGGCAGTGTGGAGGCTGGGCCCGAGGCAGGACACTCAGGTCACCTGTGCTTGGGGACAAGTATGCTGCTGAACTTGGAGAGGGTGGCACTGTGTCTGGTGGCTGTGAACTCAGTGGATGGGTGTCCTTGGTGCTGACCACTGGACGGAATGAGCTGGGGAGGCCGCTGGAGATGAGGGGTGCTGAGTCCCTGACCCAGAAAGGGGGACCCCCAGAGACCTGACCCAGGTTGTGGGCCCCAGCAAGGGCATGGGGTGGGGTGGAGCCTGTGGGAGTCTCCTCCCCCTTGTGTGCCTCTTGGGAGGGCCCTGGCTGCTGAGTGGGACCCAGTGGGACCCACACTGCATGGGTCCTGGCTGGGAAGACCCAGATGTGACTGTCTGGGAAAGGCTGGGCAGCAGCACGCAGGCAGGGTTTGGAGCACACAGGTTCCGGCAGAACCGAGTCTGGACTCTGATGCCAGGCAGACAGGGCTGGTTCCCTTGTAGTGCACATTGGGTGGAGGATAGAGGGATGGAGGAGTTGAGGTCACCCCTGAACATGCCCTGGGGTGATTCCTGGGTAGGCCTAGAGCTTGGGACTGCACTAGAGAGGATTGGGGGTGCGTTCACGTTCCCAGAAAGTGGAAGAACTTCAAGGAGAAACCAGCGAGCAGCAGCCCTGGGAAGGAGTGGGCAAGCCCAGCGCCAGTGTGGGGTGGGGCAGAGGGCACAGCCCAGGCCCTGGAAACACAAGGCGTGGAAGGCATTGCAGGTGTGCACAGACACCCGAGGGGTTGCGCGGGTGGCGCTGAGCACTAGGCCTGTGCTGGTGGGGTCACAGGGTGCTCACCACCCAATCTCTGAGGGACTTGGGTACCAAGCACCTCCCACCCCACTTTACAGGTGTGAACATACATGACGGTGAGGGCATGGGGGATTGGGCCCAGGGAGATTTGCAGGTGTCTTCCTGGCCTTTGCCCCCTTTCTTGAGACAGGGTCTCACTATGTAACCCTGGCTGGCCTCAAACTCATGGCAATCCTCCCGCCTCAGCCTCCTGAGTGCTGGGATTAAGGTGCGTGCCACCACCCCCACCCTGCTGGGCCTTGTAGAAAGGTCACCATAGATGAAGCACCACATGGCTTTTTGGGATCCCGGCCCAGCCCCTGCTCCTGAGCCTTGGTCAGGGCCATCTCCGTGGGCAGGGCCTGCGGACGTCAACTATGAAGGTCGGTATTCTTTATCCTCAGTGTACAGTGTGCCCTGGGGCTCGAACCCGAACTCCACCAGAGCTGCATCTCCAGCCCGTTTTTATTTTTAGCCGGGGGCTCACTAATCCGCCCATGCTGGCCTGAATTGACTCCTCCGCCTGAGCTTCCCTGAACGCTGGGATTACAGGCACAGGTCGCTACTCTCCGCTGACCGTTTATTCTTGTGCAAACCCAGGCCCGCGCTCGTCACCCCGAGGGCTGGGTAGGAGGCAGACAGGCTTCGGCCCCACCCCAGCCTTGGGCGGGAGAGGCTTCCGGCCGTCCCAGGGTCTCAGGCTCACCGGGGACCACGCGGGCGAGCCCGGCCAGGGGGGTGCTCTGTTCTGGGTGGGGGGTGCGCGGCCGCCCGGCGCCGGTGCAGCCCGCG